AGGCACGCTGCTCAGCATCATCGACTGCGTGCAGGGCCCGCCCGCCATGCTGCAGGCCTACGAGGACTCCGCCGGTGAGCTCTGCCCACCGAGCCACCCGCGCACCCTCAGTGCCTCCTTCTCCTCTTAGCACCACAAATCCTCTTCGATCTCCCCTCACCCCACCTCCCCATGCAGCCTGCCTCCTGGCTCTGCTGTGAGGGGGTGTCTTTCGGCCCAATCCCTTCACCCTAGGCTGGGCCAGCAGGGCCCCCTGCCCTGGGCTGTGGAGACCCCGTGCAGCTTTGTATTAAGGGAGGAGGGGAGCCACAGCCCTGCCCTTAGGGACACCCCCAGGTGGCATAAACTTGGCTAAACAGTACACCGGGTCGGGCACCTGGCTCTTAGTGCTCTCCGCGGCCTCCGCCCCGTGCCCTGTAGCAGCTCACAATGCCACCTGAGAGTTCTCGCTGGTCTCCCCACTCCTCACCTTGCCTGGCCCTCCCTTTTCCCCGATTTGGCTTCAAGCTCACCTCCCCCAGGGAACCTCCTGGGTGGGCCTGGCCCCTTCCTTGCGGCGCTTTGCCCTGCAGCTGATGGAGACGGAGTCAGACAGGTGGGGGGTGTGGGTGGCTGCGTGCACCCTCGGTGAGCCCCTCTGTTCCCCACGCCTCAGGCAAGAACGTGCGGCGGTCCATCCAGGGCGTGGGCTCACTAGTTGTAGAGAGGACTAATAATCTTTGGGTGATTCCCCTTAGGTCACAGTGTGGCGTGAGGGTCGCTGTGCAGCTGGGGCCCTCACAGTGTGGTCCTGGGTCTGGCAGTATCAGCCCCCCACACCCCTTGGGGACTTAGAAACTGGAGCTCCCAGCCTGCCGGCCGAGGCCGGGGCCGCGGAGCCGCTGGACAGAAGCAAGTTCGAGGAGAATGAGGACATCGTGGTGATGGAGACCAAGCTGAAGATCCTGGAGATCCTGCAGGTGCCCGCTGGGCCCTGCCCAGACTTGGGACCGGAACACAGGTGGGGCCACAGTCTGGGCTGTGACAGCCCTCCCGGCGATTCTGGCTCCGCCCCCCTGTACAGGTGGGGACAGGACGGGGAGGGGACTTTTCCATGTCACACAGGTTTTGAAGCGGAGCTGGAGATTGGGGAGCCAGCTTCCTGGCGGGCAGAGTCTTCCCTCCTTGCATCTCCTCTGAGACGCCCAGCAGCACTGGGGAGGGGGCTGGCAGGGCCCTGAGGAGGGAGGACCCGTGCGTTTGCCTTGCTGCCCCCAGAGGATGGGAAGGGAAATGCAGCGACCTTCAGGGCGACCCAGTGTGGGCAGGACCTGCTGGGGGAGTCAGAGGAGGGGCTCTGAGTCCTGGGGTGTGGCCAGACGCTCTGCGTCCCCCGAGGATGCAGGCAGTTGGGGTGTGTGCAAACTGTGTCCTCACGCCCACCCCACAGTGACCTCTGGCCTCACAGTCCCCGGTTTCCCCACCCGCCCTGGGAGACTTAGGGCCCATTTAGCAGGGCAGGGTGGGAGGACACACAGTGGCCTTCGGACCTGGGGAGCTCCATTCCCCTTCCTGTTAGCGTCCGGCTTGGGGGAGAGGCTGCGTGGTTTGGGGGGTCTTGCCTCTTTCTGAGAGGAGGTTTAGGAACTGGGGAGAGGGCGCCCTGAGCCTCCCTGGGGAGCAGGGTCTTGATTGTTTTGGTCGTGATGTCCCATGATACCCCCAAAGAACTGTGCTGAGCCCCAGAAAGCTGGAGCTCATTAGGGGTGCCTGTCACCCCTCCCCCCAGGGCCCCAAGAGCAGGACTAGCTTCCTGTCTCAGCCCAGTCCTCACCCCACCTCTCCCCTCCTCCAGTTCATCCTCAACGTCCGCCTGGATTACCGCATCTCCTACCTGCTGTCCGTCTTCAAGAAGGAGTTTGTGGAGGTGTTTCCCATGCAGGACAGCGGGGCCGACGGCACAGCCCCTGCCTTCGACTCCACCAGTGAGCCCACCGCCTCCCCGTCCACACAGATGCGGGCGGAGCCTGGGGGCCGCTCCCACACCTCCCTGTTTCCCAGCCTGCAGAGGCCTCCCTCCCCATAGTCTCACTTAATTGCCACAGGGAGGGAAAGGTCAGGAACCATTCCCTTCATCCCTTCAGTGAGGCCCACAGAGGGGCAGGAGTTCGTCCCGAATCATGGCCAGTCAGGACCTGAGCCAGACCAAGACCCCCGGCCCAGGACTCGGCTCATCCCTGCGGGACGTGGGCTGCGCAGCCCGTTCCCTGGATGGTTTCACCTCCCCCCCAGGGGCGGGGGGCAGGCAGAGGGGCTGCCGCCCAACCAGGTGTAGCAGGGGGTGGTTTGGGTGTCTCCCTCTCCCTCACCCCTGTGTTCTCCACCTTTCCTGCACCTGGCACCCACCTGCCCCGTCTCCCCTCTTGCTCCCCACAGCTGCCAACATGAACCTGGATCGCATCGGAGAGCAGGCGGAGGCCATGTTTGGAGTGGGGTAAGGCCAGGGGTGAAGTGGGGGGGGTTGTGTGTGGGTTGGGTAGGTGATAGCAACGCAGGCCTGAGACCCCCAGGATGGGCTGCGTTTCCCACGGCCAGGCGGGGCTCCCCTCTGTCATCCCCTGGCTTTCTGCCCTGACCCTCCCTTGTCTGCCCGACCCCGGTGACAGGCGACAGTGTGGTCATGGCCCTGCTCCCCGAGGGCTTTTGCACCCCTGCACCAGGACGGGCCAGGAGGGACGTTGCTCCCCCCACTGCAGAGGCTGGAGTGGGGAGGGTCGCCCAGGAGTGGGGCTCACCCATTTCCATGCCACACCTTGTGTCTCGAGAAGCCTTTGGGCTCTCTGAGGCGGCATTTATAAATTCATAACGTAAAGCACGTGAGATGACAGAGGAAGCTAGGGGCATGAGATGCAGTCATCAGAACACCGAGGAGGACGAATGTGCGTGCCAGCGACCTCGGCCTGGCTCTGGGCGCCTTAGGCAGCGTTAGGTGACGAGCCCTGTGGGGGGCGGGCACCCTTCCTCCAGCAGCAGCGGGTGCCGGCGATGCCCCCCAATCTGTCACACTCCAAGGTGACGGGAGAGCACCTGGGCTCTATTGATGCCAGCGTCACACGTGCCGCTCGTTTTTCCTCACTGAAGGAAGAGCTGCATTTTGGTTAGAGGTTGATAAAGATGTTTTCCCCGTCCCTGTTCAAGGCCCCAGCTTCTGTCCACGAATCCCCTCGAAGCTCTGCTTCCGGCTCAATCAAGGGGAGCCCCGTGGGACCTGGGTGGGCGAGGGGGGGGTCCTGTGGTGAGAAAACATCAGTAGTTTTAGCAAATATTGCACTGGGCGCTGGGTCTGCCCAATGGGTGGCCAGGAGCGAGCCAGCCGTGCCCACGCTGCTGCAGGAAGACGAGCAGCATGCTGGAGGTGGACGACGAGGGCGGCCGCACGTTCCTGCGCGTGCTCATCCACCTCACCATGCACGACTACCCGCCGCTCGTCTCGGGGGCCCTGCAGCTGCTCTTCAAGCACTTCAGCCAGCGCCAGGAGGCCATGCACACCTTCAAGCAGGTGCGGCCCCGCTCAGCCCGGCCCTCAGGGAGCAGGGGGTGGGGAATGGCGGGGAGGGCCACCTGCACCGAGCAGGCAGGCTGCCCTGGCCACGCGCCACCTGCGCTGGGCACTGGGGTTAGCGGTGATGGAAGAGGTGCTCACAGCACGTGTGGGGTTCTCGGCCTTGCTGAGCTCCTGAAGTCTTGGGTACTTTCATCTCTCCGCAGCCTGGCTCACGGGCTGTCACTTCCTATGATGTGACGGCACTCGGCAGCTGGCGAGCTCTATCTTGTGCGCCTTTGCTAAGTGCTTCACATCAGGCTGGCGAGGAGTCAGCCCTCACCAGGGCTTTGTTGGTCTCTGCGGCTCCCTGTGGAACGGGGCTGGCATTTAACAAGTGCTTGCTGTGTACCAGCCCTGGGTGTTGGCCTTGCGTTTACGGAATTCTGGCAGCAGCTCTGGCCATGTGGTCACTGTCCACGCCTGTTTTACTGAAGGGGTGGGTTGGGGCCAGGGGCCTTCCTCCCTCACCCACTGACCCCGAGTGGGGAAGGGGGGAGGGAGCAGCACTCAGTGATACCAGTATGTCCCGCCCCGCCCTGGTCAGGGTCCTAGTGAACAAGTGACAGACTGCAGCCGAGGGACGAGAGGCAGTGAGTGACTGAAGCCAGGGATGAGGCAGCTCACGGCAGGGCGTGCAGGGGCTGCAGCCATTGGGGAGGCTTCTTGGAGGCAGTGGGCTTATAAACGTGGAGGGGGATGATGGTGGAGCGGAGACGCCAGGAGCAGAAGCCTGAACAGGACAGGACAGAACAGGGTGTCTGTGGGGCAGTGGGCCTGGGCCGCCGTCTCACAGGCAGAGCCGCAGGACGGGACAGGGTGTCCGTGGGGCAGTGGGCCTGGGCTGCCGTCTCACAGGCAGAGCCGCAGGACGGGACAGGGTGTCCGTGGGGCAGTGGGCCTGGGCTGCCGTCTCACAGGCAGAGCCGCAGGACGGGACAGGGTGTCCGTGGGGCAGTGGGCCTGGGCTGCCGTCTCACAGGCAGAGCCGCAGGACGGGACAGGGTGTCCGTGGGGCAGTGGGCCTGGGCTGCCGTCTCACAGGCAGAGCCGCAGGACGGGACAGGGTGTCCGTGGGGCAGTGGGCCTGGGCTGCCGTCTCACAGGCAGAGCCGCAGGACGGGACAGGGTGTCCGTGGGGCAGTGGGCCTGGGCTGCCGTCTCACAGGCAGAGCCGCAGGACGGGACAGGGTGTCCGTGGGGCAGTGGGCCTGGGCTGCCGTCTCACAGGCAGAGCCGCAGGACGGGACAGGGTGTCCGTGGGGCAGTGGGCCTGGGCTGCCGTCTCACAGGCAGAGCCGCAGGACGGGACAGGGTGTCCGTGGGGCAGTGGGCCTGGGCTGCCGTCTCACAGGCAGAGCCGCAGGACGGGACAGGGTGTCCGTGGGGCAGTGGGCCTGGGCCGCCGTCTCACAGACAGAGCCGCCCCCCTGCAGGTGCAGCTGCTGATCTCCGCCCAGGACGTGGAGAACTACAAGGTCATTAAGGCGGAGCTGGACCGGCTGCGGACCATGGTGGAGAAGTCGGAGCTGTGGGTGGACAAGAAGGGCAGCGGCAAGGGCGAGGAGGTGGAGGCGGGCACCGCCAAAGACAAGAAGGAGGTGAGTGGGGCTGCGGAGAGTGGGGCCAGGGCCCTGGGAGGCTGGGCCGGGCTGACCCCACCCTGTGCCCCCAGCGGCCCACGGACGAGGAAGGCTTCCTGCCGCCGCCGGGGGAGAAGAGCAGTGAGAACTACCAGATCGTCAAGGGCGTGAGTGCGGGGTCCCAACGTGAGGCTGCGGCCCTGGGGCCCTGGGGGCCGGCCCTCCGCCTCCCAGCTCTGCCGGCCACCGGCCCTCACAGTAGATGTCTTCCAGCTTTCCCCTCCCGTTAAAAACAACCCGCCAAGGTCCAGATGGGACTGTTCGGAGCTGGAGGAATGTAGTGAAATTCCACCAGTCGCAGCGTTCTCGCATTTCACGGGTGGGGTTGGGTGTGAATCCCCTGCCTTGTTTCCATGACCTGAGTCAGTGGCCGCGGTTCCTTCCCTTCCTGTCCCCGACGTGTACTGGGACCAGCTGTGGCGGCCGGGGGAGGGGAGGCCTGTGGGAGGGAGGGGCCCTGGCTCACGCTGCTCCCCCCAGATCCTGGAGCGGCTGAACAAGATGTGCGGCGTCGGGGAGCAGATGAGGAAGAAGCAGCAGCGGCTGCTCAAGAACATGGATGCCCACAAGGTCATGCTGGACCTGCTGCAGATCCCCTACGACAAGGTGACCCCAACTTCTGCCCTGAACCCCGACCCAGCCCAAACCACTAATCCCCAGGGCTGACCTCACCGTACTCACCCTGACACACCTGACCCCTCAATAGCATCTCAACCTTTGACCCTCTGCCCCCCTCCGGATTCACTTTGACCTTGATTTGACCCCAGCCCCACTCTGATTCTTGTCCCTGACCCCAGCCTCTGTCTTCTTCTTTGGTCTAATCCTGATCCTTTCAGCTTCATCTTAGCTTTTGACCCTCAGCCTCTCCCTGACCCATAAG